AAATGAAGCAAGAACTGAGTACAAATCTGAAGTGGGCATTGAGTAAAAACCTCCTGAACAGGGCACAAAGACCTGTGGGGAAGCCGGATGCCTGCACGACAGGCTTGTCTTCTGTGAAGGAACCGACTGATCTCGTCTCCCATGAAGTCCAGTTCCTGCTCTAGCTAAACCCCTGACAACACGTGTTGCTTCCACTTGTATATGTAAGGTCTTTAACATAATAAACTATTGCAGGAACTCATGTTGTGATGTGTTTTGTCACGGACCACGATGAGACTCGGCCTTAGATAAGGACCGCTTAACAATCAATCACGCAAGCCAGTGGCTCTCGATCTTGGCTACACACTAAAATCACCTGGGAGGTTAAAGATCCTGATGCTTGGATGCCACCGCAGGGATTTTGACTGAAATGGTCTGGGGTATGGCCTGGGCACTGGAATTTTTGAAAGGTCCTCAGGTGATTCTAGTATGCAACCAAGCCTGATAACTACTGAGGGAAACAGCTGCACTGAGAGGAAAGGGCCTCCTCATCCCACAGCTGTGAAAAAGAAAACAAATACCAGCCGAGCCCAAACTCCGACCAAGCCCGATTCAAGGTCTTTCTCCTTTACCATCTTTGCCGTACTCTAAGTGATCTTGAGAACGGTGCTGTTTTCTGGCCTCCAACTGGAGTTGAGAAAGTTCTTGGATGGTCTTTCTAGACTCTGAGTCCAGAAAAGCCGAACATAATTCTGCAGTAGCTGAAACAAAAAGGAAGGCAAGAGTGAACTCACGGTCTTCTCTAGCTTGTTACCTCTTTGACTGCCTCTCATACCGCCCCCCACTCTGCCCCCCGACTCAATTCATCTGAACCGCACTGGCTGCCTTTCGGTCCTCAAACATGCCAGGCACATTCTAGTCTATAGTTTTTGTTGCCTCTGCCTAAAATGCAGATATTCCCAGAGGCACATGACTTGTTCTCTCATTTGTTTCAACTATCACCAGACCGTCCCACCGGCTCTCTTCATATACACGACTCCATCGAACATATATTTTACTTGTCTATCTCCTCACCCCTCATTGGAATGGGGCAGTCATGATTCATTAACTGCTGAATCCCAGAGTTAACTGTTACAAGCTTGGCCCCCAAAGCTCAAGTTCTCTGCCTTGGAAAAAATTAACATTGGAATAGGTGACTTCTGTAATTGTACTCACGTGTTTATAGACATGCCCGACTTTAAGTGTGCAAGTCCACCAGCTAGATCCACCACTCACATAAGCTTCAGGTTTTGATAGTCAAGTGTACACGAGCAGTTTGGTATCACTAGGTTGAAAGTCTCCTAGAATGCTGTGATCTCATTATGCCATTAATGGAGTTTATTTATTGAGACAAATCTATATGTCTGTCTGAAGACTCATTGTTAAAGACATCAATTTTTCATAAGGTAGCAGAGCAGTTTTTCCATAAGGAACTAAGACAAATGTTTTCAGTCAGCAAAAAGATGCTTTAAGTAAAAACTATGATTTATAGAGAACATCCATTGACCTTTATTCGACAAAAATCAGCATTATTAAAAGACAGGTAACAAAATCTGAGCTCATATTGAATCTGACAAATTAAGTTCTACAGTATCTAGAAGATTACATAAGAAATATCAACTGAGGGGGAAACAGGATAAAAGCATCACATGCAGACGCTCCTGGCAAAGGGGGAATTATATCTGCAAGTGAGGTCCATATTGTGCAGTACATAAAAATATCCTAGAGAAAATGCAATTGACTTACCTGGGTGAAGTGTTTTCCCTTTTGTGGAAAGAGGTGGCAAAGAGGGGCAGGAATTCAAAGGCATATTGCAGATGGCTTCTCTATTTCAAAATGGTCATAAAAATATTTAGATCGTGGCACTAGGGCATCTTTCAGGAAAAGAATGCCTTAACCAGAGTAGGGTCATTGCATAATTCTTTAGTAATATGTACAATTTTCAAGTAATGGAGCAGACTTAAAGAATCATTATATTTAAGAGTGGCTATCTATTTTTCTTCTCATCCTCTGGGCCTTGATCCATTTCAGCATCACAGGGACACTTTTCCACGCAGTTTCTAGGGAACCATCCTCTTATTCTTGAAACACCTGAAGGAGAAATGAAACTGATGTGAAATAGTCAGATGTCCTGTAACGACGTTACTGAGACCCAGAAGTCCTATTACTTCAGATTAATAAGTTTTTAGTTACACTTCTTTTCTCCCTTTACAATCTTTTATAAGCACAGTTTGAAGAGGGAAAAAAAGATTTTTAATTGTTCCCAACAAGCTAGAAAACAGGTATTTCCCAAATTCCATTCTCTGGGAAAGGAGCTAATGTGGTTTAGGACAGTTCCTAAGTGGAGTCGGGGGGACCCTGTCAGTATGGGTATTCACTTTCATGTGTGTGATCGTGGAAGGGTGTGTTTTGGCACAGTGTCACACACCATCTGTTCCAGGGAACTCTCTTCTTGTAGCCATTGTGAATTTCCTTTTTCTAACATGTAAATTTCTGTATCAAGATTTCCTAAGCTGTCATATGAGGTTGATTTACGATTAACTCTGTTTTTAAACGAGCATCCTGGGTTAATCTTTACTTTAAAAAGGAGCAATTCTAATGTGTCAATGTAAACTTATCAAAGTTAAATGCACCACTGAGGTACAGGGATGCTGAGGGTGGGAGAAGCTGTGGGAGCAGTGAGGGTGAGAAGTGAGGAGAAGGCATTTCTCTGTGTTTTGCACTCAATTTTGCTGTGAACCTAAAACTGCTATAAAAAAAGTAAAGTCTATTAAAAAAAATAACAAAAACTCAGACACAGAATGTTTCAATCTATTAGTTTTTATAACTTAACAGGAATGGTCAGAGGGGGAGCGTATAGCTTAGGGGCTTACTCACCGGCCTGGGGGCCAGACCGCAGTGGGCTGGAGCCCGGGCTCTACAGTGTAGTGCGGCCTTGAGCAAGCGGCTCAGCCTCAGCTTCAGTTCCCTCACCAATCAAATGTAAATGACTGTACCTACTTCAGAGGGCTGTTGGGGACTTTAAAACCATCAGTGAAACATTTATACAAGTGTCTGTCACATAGTTAAGCATGAGCTCCAATGTTAGCCATTATTAAAAAGACATGACAAATACAAGTGGAGAAATAATACAAGGAGCTTCTTTTTGTTGCTAAGTGATGTGTCTTTCTAGTTATTTCTCCTGATGTATGTGATGTGATTATTTATAAAAGTTATTCTTGTAAGTTTGGAATCATTGCTAGTCGTCTTGTCTTTTAAATATCCCCCTCCATTTTCATACCTTCTGTAAAGGAATCATCAAGAATTTTGTCTCCATACAGCCAGTATCTGAAAGATTTAAAAGATTAAAATTATTTTAAGCTAAATGCCAACTTCGTCATTAAAGAAGAAACATAGTACTTTGTATCACTTACCGTAACCCTCTCGTGGCTAAAATGAACTCCCCTGTCTGCAGTCTTATTCGGGGCTCTTCAGTGCAGGGGCTGGTGAGGAAGGTTTTGATCCCTTTGTTCAAAGGGCAGCAGGCACCACTGTAATTTTCTATCACTTTATACCGAACCTGTTATCAGCAATCAGAAGAGCGATTTAATATTTCCCAACATCTAAGTTTTTTTAAGCTTGAATTTAAACTGTTAAAGGTACATCCAAAACATCAGGTGGTAAGTCTTTCCCTCCTAGTTTCCAATCCGCCTGGTTCCTCTATAGGAGGTAACTGACGTTTTAGTTCTCAAGGCTTTTTGTACCCGTCATTTCAAGCACATAGCTAATGAGACTTCCTGCAACGACGGCAATGTTCTGCACCCGCAGTGTCTGACGTGGTAGCCCCGAGCCACGTGAGCACTTCTAATGTGGCTCGTGCAACCGAGGTACTGAACTTTTAAATTTCACTGAACTTTCATTAACTTAGAATTAAATAGCCACGTATGGCTAATCATATTGTACAACATAATTGTAAAGATGGAAATTTATTTTTCTCTTGGCAATATAAATTGACTAAATTGTCTCCAAACCTACAGTCCAAACTACTTAAATGAAAACACAAGTAAATTGCATTAAATTGCAACAAATATTTTAAGAAATATTATTTAATAAAAGCTAACATTTGGTTTCTACTCAAAGGCAATTTTAAAAACTACAGAGAATTGCTGAGCTTGACAAAAGAAAAGAGGAATTAGTATCATTGCAAAAGAATTACTTACGCTTCTCACTCTTTTATCTGCTTTTTGTTTCAATTGTTCTATCTGTTTGGAAGATAGAAAAAGAAAAAAAAGTCTTTTATCTCGGTGCTGAAAAACAGTCTTTCCTCAACTACTGTATCAGAGCGACATGATAAACCCTCAACTTTCCAGCATTTCGAAGTGCTGACAATTTAAAGACCACATTTTTTTTTAGCATAGAAAGAAAGCCCTGCGACTAAACAGGGGCTAAAGTAGGGCTTTCTTCTTAGCGTTCTCCCTGTGGCCTGGACCAGGGAGATGTGCTCTCTGACCTCATGGAGCAACCAGGCTAGTATCTAAAGTAACACAGAGGTTCACTGGCTCTTTAGAGACATGGAAGACAGACTGCAAAACTTATCAAGTCTCAACTAAAAGTCATCATTACTACCCACTTTTCTCTGCTTATTCAGCAACCATTTATTAAATGGTATTCTATTAGATATAGTTGGAGAAAACACGTGGTCTCTGTCCTAGAAAACACATGGTCTCTGTCCTAGAATCTTGTCAAGTTAAAGATATAAGATATAAGAATTAAATAAAAATATAAGCCCTCAGGTGCTACCATACAGTAGCACGACTGAGTGCCAAACCCAGATGAGAGCAGAGTGCAGAGATTAGACTTTAGGGAAGAGGTAGGACTGAAACTGGTCCTAATAATTTCCAATAGAGAGGAGGGCATATGAGATAGAAGAGAACAGTATGAGCAACACTGGGTGGCAGGAATGTAGGTAGGCCGATTGGAAAGGATGGCTCCTGCTTGCAAGTAATTGGAAGGTGGTTTAGGCCAGATTTTATAAAACTAAGTTACGGTATCAAGACTTTATCTAAGTTAAGGAGAGATTTAAATAAAAAGAGAGAGAGATATGGTATGAGGAGTGCTTTAAATTATTCTCTTAGATCCATTTTGCCACATACTGAGAAACAATTTTTTATTGCTTAATTTTACTATACAATGTCATCTGAATTAAGGAAAAGAAGGTGAGGCAAAAAGGAAAGACTATTTGAACAAAAATACTCACTGTTAAGCTGTACTGGTGACAGCCTTCTCTTATTGGCCACTCCAGTCCATCTCCTTCAGGGACCCCCGACCACGTAAATACCTGTTTAAAGTTCTTCCATCGACTTCCCATATCATAAGGAAAAACAAAGACTTCATCTAGTTGATAATACTGAATTCGATCTTTAGCCTGTGAATAACAAAGATGTAAGATAGCAGATGCCTTAAACGGCTTTTAGTAATATACAACTGAGAACTTTTATACCTCAAATTTGTATCATTCCTAAATATATGTCCTTGTTGTAGTGTTAGTGTACACAAAAAAGCTAAATAAATTTATCATAATATAAAATAACTTGACATATAACAGCAACCTCATATGAGAATATTCAGAAAATGTCTGACAGGGCTTATTTAGGACTAAGCACTTAAAAATGCTTATTTAAAAGAGTTAGTAACTCTATTCCATATAGCAAAAATCCTCAGGGCTCCTGCTGTTCAGAACAAAAATATCCAGGTGTAAAGAAGAGATTTTGATAAAAAGAGGAAGCAAGGATTTTTCAGGATGGAAGAAACTGTTGTGTGGGGTGCACTATAATGAAATGGTTGTATCCTGGGTGACAGCGACACCTGAGAGAACAGCCAGGAACGGTGAAACAAGGGAGTCATCATTTTTTAATAATTATTATTTTAAAAGCAGGTATGTGCAGATCTTATGGTTTTTTATACCATTACACATGTATGTATACTTATTTATAAATGCATTTATATGTACATTTTATGCATATACATAAATATTCAGGTTGTACAAATTATGTACTAGGCATTTAAATTGTTAGCTTTAACCTGAGATAAGCTACCTTAGAATTTCTTAAGTTCCGCTGACACCTAGTGGTATAAAGATACATTACTTATTCCTATAAGTGTACAAACCCAGGTGAAACTTGTATAAATTTTAGTGTTTGGTAATATCGATAAATAGTTTATAAACTTAAAAATCATTTTAATATTTTACTTAGTAACAACACCAATTTAAAATAACTCCTAGGCTTAGCAAGACTCTTTATAAAGAGTCTTGATCTTTCAAAAAAAAATTGTGACTCTCACATCAGTATATTATGCTAACTAGAAACTATACTTTAAAATATTTTATTAAAGGACAGTATTTTAAGTAAAGCTTCTTACAGTTACTTATGTGGTATTGATATTAATTCAATTAGTTAAAAGACCTATCAAACCGTAAAATGTATGAGTTTACCAAATTGTATAAACCCATCCACACATATAAAAGGGTAATTTCTTTTCCTTTTTTATAAACAAAAGCTTCAGAGTCTTCAAAACAGATAAGAATCTCAGACAACAGAGATTTAGGCTACTAAGAAAAAGTGGTAAAGATGAGAGTAGCTTACAAAAATTATTAAAGCATGGTCTCTAAGGAAATGGGGGGAATTCCATCAACGCTGTGTGTTAACAGGTGACAAAGGTGCATAGTACATGCTACAGGAAAAGGCAACAAAAGTACTTAACCTCTTACAGAGTGAGTCAAGGAAAGTTCCTTGGAAGAAATGGCACCTAAACTAAGTCTTGAGGGACAAGAAATAAGGCAAAGAAGCGAGGGTAGGAGTGTTCTAGACAAAGGGAACAACATGTGGAAAGACAGAGAAGTACAGATGTACAACGAGTTACTTGGTATTAGCTGGTATCAAGTGTGAGATGGGGTGGGGAGAGGTGGAAAATTCGGTTGAGAAGCAGATAAAGGAAGACATAAAAGATTTTATTATGTATAAGCTAAGGATCTTGGATTTAAATCTGTATATAAGTTGTTCTCAAAGCAAGTTTTGCATACCTCTTTGAGTCCCCAAGATCTTTCCTTGGGGTTAAAAAAGTCGAACACCTTTCATCATAATATTAAGATTTTATTTGCATTTTTCATAGTGTTGACATTTGCAACAGTGGGTAAAATTGCTAGCACCTTAAGCAAGAATCAAGACAGTGACCCCAAGCAGTTATATTCTTCTCCACTATATACTCATCGTTCGAAGAAAACACCCCACCAAAAAAAAGTTTTACAGAAGAATGTCCTTGGTGAAGCAATAAAAATTATTATTTTTCTTAAATCTCAACCCTCAAGAAGATATCTTTTTAATATTCTGTGTGACAAAATGGGAAGTACACATAAAGCATGCCAAAGTGGTTATCTCCAGGAAAACACCTGTTTGAGTTGTGAGCTGACAAAAGCTATATAGCCAGCTTTTTTCATGTAACACTATTTTTCTTGAAGGAATGACTAATGTAACAGATATCTAAGGTTATTTAAATTTTAGTATTTGGTGCACATTGTCTCAAAAATGAACAAAGTCAGATTATTACTTCAATGTAAACAACTGAACATCTGTTGCCAATGAAAAAAATTAAGGCTTTTGAGTGAAAATTAGAATTTTGGAAAATTTGTCTCTACCACTA